ATTCTAGCATACAGTACTATGTTACAGTATTAAGGCCATCTGTATTTGTATGTATTCCATACCAAGGAATGTCAAATTCACAATGTTAAACTCTAATGTATACGCCAGAGTTTAGATCCTATGAATAATCCAGCATGTCTAGGCAACATGTTTCTCCTGAATTATCTCACCACACAGTATCCTTCAAACAATACTATATTGTGTTGTACAATATTGTATATTGTATATTGTTCTACATCTTTATATGAAAATATATTACCTCAAAAATGTTATTGCTTTCCTTCTTTCCAAATTACACTTACTTAATAGTTCATAATACACTTACCACAACCTGTCTATTGGCTAAGGCAAATATTTACAAAACCAGATTGCTAAAATGACCCTGTTATGTAGATAGGGCCTTATTTGCAAAGCTCTAAAGTTCTACAGCCACCACATCAAGAATTTTTCTATCTTAGTGCAACAGGTAATGAACCTCAAGGTATGTGTTAGACATCAGTCTTGCAATGAATTACCATATGAGGCCTCATGCTCCATGCCATTACCCAATGTCCGTAATTTTTTTCAACATTTAAAATCCATGGGTATGTTACCTGGAGTTTCCTACAAAAAGTTTTCAGAACTACTTTAACTTAACACTCTATCTGTAACTCTACTTGGGAAAGAATTTCTGTAGCAGATCTTATATCAAAGCCAGAAAATTTAAGGATTGCCTTTAAAGAAATTAAAGTACTGCCTTCCCATGGGGAGAAATTCAAATGCAAACACAGCTTTGGAGTCTTTTTAAAGAAGCTGAGGCATGATATTAAACCCCACCTTTTATGCCAATCCCCCATTTAATTCCCATGGGTGGAGGTCTATTTTGTACAGCTACTTTAGTGAATTTTTATTTCAACCTTTTAAGTGATATATGTGTACCCCACAGGCATTGCTTTATGGCAGGTTCCCAAATCACAGTGGGAAAAGAGCCAGGGCTTAAACAATACTCATCTACATTTAGGGAGGAAATAAAAAAGGGATCTGTGCAGTAGCATAATCAGATAATATGACTGAAGAACAAGTGTCACACTCATTGATGGTATCATTTTTTAACTTCCTCTTACCTAACTAAATCAGCACCTCACCATAAGAAAGAAAAATATAGAGCACAGCTCATTAGTTTTCTATCCTAGTCCCCTGGATCTGAAGGCAGCTGAAATGTTTAGACATACAGAGTTAAAATAAAGGAAGCCTTGAGTGTAGAGCTTAGACACTGACAAAAGCCAGCAAATTCACAGCATATTTGAAGCAAATTAATTCTACCTTTTGTTCAGTGAAAATTTTGATATTCTGCTTCTGGTTATTGCATACTTGAATTGTAGGGTCTTTTGTTGTTTCAATAGAGGTTCAGATGCCTAGATCAAGACAAACACAGAATGAAAATATGATCTTTGGCCCAAGATTTTTATGATCTAAATATGAAAAAAAGTAAGCTATTAAGAACAAAGAAGATGAACAATGAAACAACAGGGAAAGATATTAGTCATCCTTTAGACAATGCTCTCAGTGCTTGAGCTGCCAAGCTTTTGCAGGTATTGGGATAAAACAGGAGGGATTTGAGGCAATGAAGCTATATTTTTACACTGTAAATCTCATTTAATGCTGTCTTAATCAGCAAGGAAAGACTTTTTGGAACCTTATACAAAAATGAAAACAATGATCACTCCATATTAGAGCTTACATATGCCTCATTTAAGTGCCTGATATTTTACTTCTCTGAATGGAAAACTGCATTATATATCTTAGATGGAACTTTTCCGATTAGTGATATATATGAAGGGACAATAAGACACACAAGGAGAATTGTTTCTGTCTAAGTTTTTGTAAGGTTTTCCAGCAGTCGTCAGAAGCTCTTTAAAGGTCAGTCCAGGCTAAAAGTCATATAGCTCCTTTCAGTGTTCAAAGGAAGGCAAATCCCTATGCCAGGGCAGAAATTACTTGCTCAGATGTACAATTGACTTATCTCCACCCAAATATTTCAATGCCTGGAGGCTTACTACAGATGTTCTCTTTTTGTTCACTGAACGTTTTGCAGCCAAGGCACTCATTCAGCTGCAGGAAGAAATCATCAGTCCATGAAAACGACATGGAGAAAAATCAGACTATAGTAAAGAAAAAATCCTAAACTGACTCATGACTGTAGCTTGCAGAAGCCAAATAAATTTTAGTCTGGTGAAGGGATCTTAACTGCATACGGGAATCCCATTATGAGATTGACTGGACTACTGATAGATTAACATGAGATTCTATTCTGCTCTTGCCCATTTTTCTGACTTATAAGAGACTTCTATAGAAACTAAACAGGTAAAAAGATGCTAATAAATTCTCTAAATATTTAGTCTGGTCATGCCAAATTAAATAAGAATGATCATTTTCTAGAATGTGTGCCAGTTTTAAAGATTCTTTAAGTAATTTATTCACTTCTGTTGGAAGTAGGCAGTGGGATGAACTTACATGTAAAGTCAGACAGGAAACGTGTACTGATTCTTTCAGTTTCAGATGTGCTCTACTGATTGCTGAAAAGAAAGATGCCTTTAAAAATACTGTGAGTCCATTCTTTTTATTGCATTAATCCTTGTGGCTCATATAAAGCAATCTCCTGGGTCTTCTAGGATCAAAGATTTGTCTTTCTGTTAATAGCTGCCAGAGTTACCAGGATTAACAGGAAAGCAGCAGCAGCCTTGTCAGCTTCTCACATGAAAATGAAGAAAATTAAGCCATCCTAGTTGTAAAGGATTATGGAAGATTTGATACATTTTCCATCATAGCTTTTGTGGGAGGGGGAGTCTGTTTTGCTTTGGCTATTTTTGTTTTGGTTTGGGTTTTTTTTGTTTTGTTTTGTTTTCATGGGAATGAAACAACACTTTGGACACATCTTTACTTGGATACATCTTTACTTGGATGCTTCCACATTTGGGTACTTCCTCATGAGGGGAAGGGAAGGGGCAGTGACAGGACCTGAGGGAAGGGCCTGAAGCTGTGTCAGGGGAGGTTTGGGTTGGATATTAGAAATAAGTTCTTCTCCCAAAAGGTGTTTGGGCACTGAAAAGGCTCCCCAGGGAAGTGGTCACAGCAGCAGCCTGACAGAGTTCAAGCAGTGTTTGGACAATGCTGTCAGGCACACGGTGTGACCATTGGGGATGTTCTGTGCAGGGCCAGGAGTTGGACTCGATGGTTCTTGTGAGTCCCTTTCAACACAGGATATTCCATGATTCTACATATCAGGTTGACACAATGTACTATGCAATCTTGCTTTTTTTCATAACTGATGTTTGTATTGGCTAGTGTTTTTTCCTCTCTGTGTCACAATTTTTGACATCATGTTGCAGTCTTGGGTAGAAGGGCCAGAATGTTCTAGCAGCCAGCTTAACGTTGTGTGTTACTGCGATACAGTGAGGATTTGGCCAGGAATTGCAATTCCTAGATTCCCTTCTAATTCTTTCAGTGTAAATTCCCAGGGCAGATTGGAAAACAGGCAGACCTAACCAGCCAATAACTATATAAAAAAATAATTTAAAGAAAAGCTGCTTTTTCATGAATGAAAATCAGTGAAACTTCTGAAAGATAAGATATTTCATTAATTTGATTTAGGACTAAGCACTCAGTGCTGTAGTATTCCTATCTTACATGCCTTCAGTCTATTGCTAGATATATGTGTTGCACACCTCTTGACAGTAAAGAACTGCTTTCCTTGCAAACATATTTAATATTTTCCAAGGTTCTGGGAGACAATCTAAACTCCTCTTTCAAATTGTTTTCATAGATATAACACTGTTTTAGAAAGTGGCATATCCTTAAATTTTATTAGTTTAAACTTAGGATATAGAATTTACTGCTTCTAACAAAATCTCCATTATCAACAGAAAAAAAATTATAAAAGAAAAAAATGTTTGCTTTTAACTATAGCCTCCTTCTTAACCTGGGAAGCCTGCAAGTTTACAGTTCTAGTCTTGCATTTTCTTTTAGAAGTGTGAAAACTTTTGTGTGAGTAGTTTTTTCAGGCTCCTGTTCTCATCCCAAAACAGGCAGCTGGTGCTGGTCCTGCTGCTCCATTTAAAAAGGCCATTACACCTCCATGACCTCATACTAACTTCTTGCTGTTTCTTCCTCTGTGCCTCACGGCTAGGCTAATGTCAAGAACTACAGCCAAGAACCTATTAATATTCAGTTGCAACATCCATCCTCTTAGCTTATAGATTTCCTCTCAGTCCCAAAAGTTCTCCCAAATACACTATTGTTTCAAATTCCATAAGCTCCCTTAATTTTGAGCATATGAGTAAAGTCACTGGGTCCAATTTTTATTTCTTATGGCAGTTATGAAGGGTGGTTTAAAGAAAACCAGCACTGTGGACTCTTTGTAACCTTTCTGCCCAGTTCCAGCCCTTCTGGGATCCCAAGGCTCAAGTTTTTCCTCATTCAACATTTTCCAGAAAATAAGGAGAAAATTAATGTTTTCATAATTTTATGTGTTTGTGCATTCATCCTCAGCACAAATGTCAGTCTCTTGTAGTACTGTGCTATTTTTTATATCAATTAAACTACAAAGTAAAAAGGTTTTGGTTACTTGATGGAGCTCAAAAGCATATGGGGACAAAGTAAATCTCTTTGCAGTGAAGAAAAAATAGTAATTTATGCTGCAGTATCTTTTTTTCCAGTAATAACTTAGGGTAGATGCAGTAACTTGTATTCTGTTTTCCTTTACTTAAGTGTTAATTTTCTATTTAAAAAAAAAATTATTTGGAAACAAGTTAAATAAACACATTGATCAGCCAGGAGGGTTTCAGTGTTTCTGCTGACACTGGCACAGAGAAGAAGAATGGAAAAAATAAATAAGGCTTGACTCTTACCAAAGCAGCACAAAGTAATAAAAGTTTTCTCCAGTGCAGTGTTTGACCTACAGACAAATCACAGAATCACAGAATAGTCTGAGTCAGAAGGGAGCCAGAAGGCTCCTAAGTGAACGTCCCATCCAGGGATTGAACCCAGGGCTGTGGCATTATCAGTACCATGGTCTGACCAACTGAGCTGGGAAGGACAATGATGTCATCTGTACATGCTGAGGAGAGCCATGATTTCAGCTACAGACATTGATTTTACATAGAAGAGGGCAGCTAGGAGTTAGTGGCAATAAAAATTTTATTCTCTAATGTTTTGCTTCTTTTCATTTGCCTCAACTTGCTTTGAGATCACTAAGATGAAAATATGAAGTGGGAATAGAATTTGCTCTATGTATTGTACTAGAAAACAAGTTACTACAATACCAGTTCAGTGTCCTACCCACTAGACCACACTCAGAAGAGAAAGCTAAAATCATGGCTGTTCCATTTGTGATAAAGCAAATGCCTTCACTGATGAACAGATTGACATAAGCAATCTTATTCCACTGTAGAGAAAAATGAATCACATCAGCAATGTCTACAGCTGCTCTTGCCTCCCTGAGAAGGACTATGGGCTCTGCACATTTATTTCAACTCAGCCTTCATACTTTTCTATCATCTGATCTGGTTTCATGTCCTTCCATTGCAAAATAATTAGGTCTTGAGCTTGACATAGCTGTTAGTAAAAACATATCCTGATTCAAAGTTGTTTACATTAAGCTGTCAGACAATACTTAATGTCATGGTTAGTCTGTCAGCTGTTTGGAACAGTGATTACTCCTATTTCAGCATGCCAGAAGTTCATAATAGGATATTGTTTCTTTGAAAACTGTGTTTCTGACTTTTTGAATTAGAGGGAAGCCACACAACTCCCAAAAAGAGCTTTTTTTTCTCTTTGCTAGTCATTAATATGCTATATGAAAGTTTCATGTCTATCAGAAATATATTCACATATTAGAGCATGTCCATTATCTCTTTTTGTTCCTGCACTTTGCCACAGACCCTAACAGCTCTTTCTAGAACAGCTCTTTACCACTGTAGGGTTTTCAGGTTGCATGCCATGGCAGCGTTACATAAATATATAAACATATTAGCACTTCCCCTGTACACTCTGCAAAACAACCAGAAACTAATAAACAGATATTACTATTGACTTTTGCAATCAAACTTTTCCCCATGCTTTTTCCCCTTACCATCATCAGATTACAGGGGTGGACTGGTTGTTTTGCTGGAAACTACTTTGAAAGGATCTGTTCTTAAAAATTATTGTGCAGCAGATATGCATAAACTGAAAAGACTGTTAACAACCTTGTTCTCAATGAATTGTTTTAAAATTTCAAGAAACTCATTCTTCCATCAGGTATGCATTCATTTCTCAGCGTGCTCCCCTGGGGGATTCACTGCCTATAATTATATGAGTTCTTGATTATCTTGTTAGCCAACATGTATTTTAAATCTGTAGCAAGTCAGACTAAATTTGTCAGAGTTGTAGAGATTTCCATGGTATCAAGGGTTTGAGTGAGTTGTCAATGCATAGACACCTAGTAACAATTCCCAAAGTATTTGAATTATCTACATGACTTTTACAGATATGCATCAAGACCTAAGAAGGTCTTGCAGCCTTTTTGTTTACCAAGGCAGCTGGTGTCCATTTGATACAGAAAATAACACTCAATACCTGTGTATGGGCAATTTATTCAAGTCCTGCATGTCCACAGATAAATGTGGAAGCTTGGGCACAGTGCACATACACAGATATTTTTCTGTAAGCGTCTGAGGTTTCTTAACCTTGAAGTGAAGTGAAACCCCCCCAAAATTTTTTATAAATTTTACAAAAGTATTTTGCTGTCTAGAGGTCAGCTTAAAGTTTCACCTCTACCTGGACTGGAGCACAGAGAACAAATATAGCAAGTCATCCACCCTCCCGTGTGGATTATCTGCTCTCATGTTAAGGTTAGATCATATAACCATAAAATCATGGAATCATAAAGACACTTGAGCTGAAAGGGACCTTAAGGATCATCGAGTTCCAGCCCCTCTGCTGTGGGCAGGAACACGATCCACTAGAGCAGGTTGCTTACTGATGTCTGTCAGGACTCTGAGCCATTGATCACTAACCTCTGGATGCAACCATCCAACCAATTCCTTACCCACCTAACAGAACACCCATTGAATCCATCTCTCTCCAATTTAGAAAGGAGGATGTTATGGCAGATGAGGAATCACAGAAGCCCAGATAAGTGACATTTGTAGCCCCTTCATTATTCACTAATGTTGTCTCTCTGTTGTAGAAAGCCACTAGGTTGGTCAGGCAGAACTTGCCCTTGGTGAAACCATACAGATTGTCCCAAATCACCTCCCTTTGTTCCCTGTGCCTTAGCCCAGCTCCTAGGAGGATTTGTTCCATGGTCTGCCCAGGCACAGAGGTGAGGTTGACAGGTCAGTGTTCCCAGGATCCTCCTTACTACCCTTTTTAAAGACAGGCACAATATTTCCCCTTTTCCAGTCACCTGGGACTTGACCTGACTGCCATGATTTTTCAAATATCATGGAGAGTGGCAACTACATCAGCCAATTCCCTCAGGACTCTGGGATGCATCTCTTTAGGTCTCATAGACTTACATATGTTCATATGTTCAAGTAGGTTCATATGTTCAAGTGGGAAGCATTTTGCCCCCACAATCCCCATCCTGTTTTTCACCCAGGTGTGAGAGAGGTGTGGGAATAGAGTTTTCTTATATAACCTTAACTGCAAAATGAGCTATATAGTACTTAAGTAGGGATGCTTAACTTACTGATACAGCCTTAATATGACACAGTTAACAAACCAATTAATCACAACTTCTCTAAATCTCTGTCCTCCTTAGCCTGTTCTTCACAGCACTAGTAGCAACTCAATGATCCCAAATAGGAAAGTCCAAAATGCATTCACAAATATATTTATGTCAATTCAGAACCCAAATTATTATTTCAGTCTGAGCACTTTCTTAATTTCTAGGCTTAAGTGCTTGAAGGGAATATAGAATTAGTGACCTCATAAAGTCTTTTGCAGGTTAGATATCTGTAGTTCTTCACTTTGGCTGCTATGATCATCGAAGGACCCCTTTTATTCAACTCTTCATGAACTGAGCATATTCCAAGAAAATATTTTGAGGGTGTTTTCCTTTGTTGTCCTATCCTTATTTCCTTCCTTTTCCCTCTTCAGAACTGCTTTCAGACTACTGGAACAATTACAGCTTATCACCCAGCCCCCCTTCACAAAGATGTCTTATCTTCAGTTTATGTCACAATTTGAAAAATCTGCATCTTGGCTATGAATATGTTTGTCTACGTGAAATTATTTCACTTCTTGTGACTTAAATATGGGGAACAGACTAAGAATATGTAAGAATATGTATAATGACAGTTCTGCATGTGTTATTTACTTTAGTCTTTCAAGACAATTTGAATTATTTTAGCATGCACACAGGTAGTGCATTTTCTTAAAAATGTAAGACTTGTAAAATCCATTTACATTTCTTGCTATAATTCCAAAACTCTATCCAGGTTAAGCTTTGGCTCTCAAAGTGTTCTGAATAGCCAAAGGGTGACTGTGGAACCATACTATAAAATTTGAAGTTTGATATTGTGATCCAAGGGAGCAAAAGTGGTAGTTGAGATAATCTAGCAAAACAACAGGACACTATTTCACCAGTTTCCTGTTTCAATGACTTGAAGATAATTCTTTCATTATTATAAAGAAAAGTTGCCATTCAGAGCAAAAAGGGATTTTCAAGTTCTCCATCTCTGCCAGGTTTTTTATTGGGCAGTGAATCAAATGTATAATTTAATCCTTACCCACACAGCGTTGCTGAGAAGAAGCTTGGGGATTTTTTTTGGAAGGTTCAGGTAACAGCCAAAAAATTTATGAATCTCCTTAACTATTTCCCCATCTATGTTCCTGAGTTTGTAATTCCCTCACTGAGGAGCTGTAGGTAATGCAAATGTACTGTTTGTTCTTTAAATGCTTATTAGTAGTTGTTTGCTACTCAAGGCTGATTTTACTCTATTTTTATCTTTTTGCAGGTTTTAATAATGATCCCTTTAACTGTTTTCAATAATTTCTTCCCACTATTCCCCATATCAAAAATGGTGACTTCACATTTTCTTTCTTCTGTTACACTTTCAGAAATGCTCCTTGCACATTCGGGAGCTGAAGGCACAAATTTTGCCTGGATAAAATACTGGGACCTTGCATGGCCCTTATCAAGCAGCAGGGAAGGAAAGCAAAGGGGAGGGTGGGGCAGAAAAGTTTTTTTCTTGTATTCATAGGTTCGTCCTTCATGATTTGCTGTTCATGGTGTCTTTCAAGTAGAGCTGATTCCCAATCTAAACTTCTATTTTTTCACTTCTTACCCTTTGGTACTATGCTATGAAAAAAATGTGCTTCAATTGGTTAAACAACGGATTAACTTTTTTTAAATTAACTTAATTAAACAAATATATACTGTACAGAATAACTATCCTTTCCCACAATAACTACCAGAACTGTATGCATTTAAAGCAACAGTGTGTGGCTGACAGCTCAGCCAAGGCAATATAAAGTATACCAGGTCCACACTGCAGAAAAAAATGCTTCTTTCTTTCAAGTTTTTCGGTGGAAAATGGATTTATAAAATATTTTTGAAGCCCTGTGTTAAGGCTGGGGACAGATGAATAGGTCACTGACCAGACCCTGCCCTAAAGCTAAACCAGATGAGTAGGATGTGAGAAACTATTGGGCATGACATGAGAAAACTGCTGTGTGTAAAAACCAACAGTTGTGAGGCAATAAAAAAGTTACTTATCATAAAGAATAGATGGATTGTGCAGGTTGTTAAGGGGAGTTATGTGAGGTATAGACAAACTTTATAGAGATTTTAAGGGGAATATCAGGGACTTTTCCAGGAGGAGATATGGGGAAAATATCAGAAATGCCAAATAGCTGTCCCATAAAAAGAACTAATAGAGAAAAAATCAATTGGGGTGGATGCTTCTTTAGGAAAGAATGAGTGTGTTAAAAAGGAAAACTCTGAGAGGCGGTAATGAGAGAATATAAGGGGTCACAAATCAAATCATAGGGCTATTTGGAGGTCTGTGTTTGACAGTCCTGCATGTTGGAACAGAGAAATAAACC